ATCTCACAAGTCCTACAGCTCTTTTGACGATAGTCTCTTCTGTTTGCATGGAGCTCAGAGAGACGGTTTCTATTCCTGTGTCAGATGCAGAGGTCTAATTGCTTTCCTTTGGTGGTCCAAGGATATGGTGTAATCTAGTCTGCACTGATTCACATACTTGGGTTCCTCTGCCTGTCCATGTTTTCAAGATCTCCACTTTGTCTTTGCATTTAATTTTACTAATTTAATCATAAAAAAAAAAAAAAAAGAAAGAAAATCCTAACAAACTGTGTGTTGTGGTCCACCGTTACAGGAAAAAACTGCTCAACAACGCAGTTTAAATCAAATCAGGTTCAAAGGGTTTTATCTGATTTATTAGAGACACATAAACAACCAGCTGTCCAAGAATTAGATGTTCAGGATCGATACTGGCAATAAACCAGGTTAAACCACAACTTGAGACACTGATAAAATCTTAATACCCACTTACAKATTCCTAAACCTCCTTCTATAACTAATCCTCAAGAGCTTGAATCCCACAGACAGGCAACCTTATTAATGTGGGATCAAGTTCAGTAACTGTCTTATAGTAAGTACCAYGGTGTTAATGCTTTACTTGGAGTGGGCAGGAAACTTCTCTTAGTGAGAGCAGTTGTGCAGAAGCTTCAACATTGACTTGTGCAAAGAAAATCAGAGCCGGGCACCATTAGACATCCCATTCAGCTAAAGAAACAAGCACATGCTGTGATAGTTATGGCCTGTTGAAGAAAATATAAATTTATAGAACATATTATAAATTTATAGAATATTTTATAAATATTCTGTATAATTTGCAAAATTGGCCACTGTGAGAATGTTCCAACCAAACACCAGTAAGTTGCTGCATTTGGAATTGTGTTTTCCACAACTGCTACTATGTAGGTAGAGAAGTGGGATACTGTCATGATGTGTTGAATAGAGTTGTTTTAGAGAGGAATGGGGATATATTTTTATATTCCGTAGAGACAGGTTGTAAATGGAAAAGACCAGAACCTCAAAAATATAAGGCAGGGAGAGAGGGAGGCCATATGAAAAAGTCATATGTTCAGGGTCTAAGAAAGCCAGAATGATATAGGAAKAATTGCAGGAGTCACCTGACAGCTGCAAAATTGAAGTTCAGATAAAACCACTGTAGAAAAAAAAAATGACAATTTTTTAGTGCAATTCTGCTAAAAAAAAAAACAATTCAAGGTACATATCAAATTCRTAATGCATCAAGGCACATTTTATTTTACTCAAATTTAGCTGAAACAGCATTCATGCTGTTGGTTTTTTGCTTTTTTGCTAGACAAAAGCAGAAAAAAAGTGAATTTACTTCATTTAATAACCTCTTTTCTTCAGAAAAATTATTTTTAGTTTATCATAATCTAAAACAGAATAAAAAAAATCACACTATAAAAAAAAGGAAAATTTTTTTTTGACAATTTTAAAATAGTGACTAACACTTTTGGGGGCCCAAAACTACTAACTAAATTTCCTGCAAAAATTGCAAAATGAACCCCATTTATTTAGTCAGCTAAAGTTTCACTAAGCTCTATTCTTTTTAAACCATTAGAAAAGTTTGTGGTTTATTTTCCATTGCAAAATTCCTACTGATCTGTCACACAGTTATTTCTATCAATTTTTATAGTGATCTTTCTTTATCAATAACATTTTCTCCTAGGGATAGCTTACATCTAAGGAATTTCATGTTGCTCTTTTTAAGTCTGGCATTTTTTTATAGGTTACTACTTTGCTTGATTTGCATTTAGAGTTGCAATATTTCTGGGTTTTCTTTCCAAAATAACCTTTCATGCCCTTCTGCTATATTCCTACTATCATGATAGTCTAAGGACTAAGGAAAACCAGCTACTGCATGAGTGATGGAGAGTCCAACTGGCCAGACAAGGTCCTCATTGCCAGAACCCATCCCACCATCACCATGAAGGTGCAGGTCAGACTGATAGAGATCACCACGATCATTATTCCTTCATTATTATTTTGTTCCCCACTTTTATTTTCTTAAGATACCATTTGTAATCATTCTTGCTGCCTTGTTTCTAAGGACAGAGCTTTTCCCACTGCCTAAGCAGATACCTGGCTCCGAACAAATGATGAAAGGCTGAAAAGGAGAATACCCAGGAGCTCGCAGGTGTTGGAGAATATAGCAGGAAACAGAAATAATCATGTTAACTCTTCTCACTATTTTAGAGCTGCAAATAAAATTTGGGTCTGATATGCTCCCTTTCAAACACTGCAAGTTTTTAAGCAGGTTGTTAGTTAAGGCGAAGCACCATATGTGGTGTTACAGGAAAACACAGCGGGAGTCAAATGCATGGCTGACTGATAACCAACCTATCACATCTAATAATAGCTTGGAAAATTAATGGAATTAAGGCTATATCTGTGAAAAAATAAGTGTGTTCATCAGGCAGGTATCCTGTTAGGGAGCCTTGAATAAATTCGCAGTTAGGGACATATTAATGCAATGCCATAAAAAATTGCAGGCTGATATAAACAACGTTGGATTGCTGCMGTGAGATTTGCTACCTTGGCTTTTGCAATATGTAAATTAACTCTGGAAACAGTGATTAAAATTAAAATCCTGACATCAGGTGGTCACCTTTCAGCAGATAGGGCAGCAATATTTAGCCTTAATACCACATATTTTACATTGGAAAGCTGAGGAGGACAGAGTCACAGGCAGATCTTGTTTCCATACTCAAAGAGAACTTGTCATTCCTTAATCCTATGTTTCCAGTGATCCGTAGTGCATAAGGGAATTGGGAAGGAAGCAGTCTGAGCTGTCAAGAACATATTGTTCCCATAATAAAAGACATAGACTCTCTCTATGACGGCTAGGAAAAGACTTGCAGTATGATTAACTCAGGGCTAAAAAGCGTTTGGGCAATGAAAAATGCCTTAAAAATAATGCATTTCATGAAGTTTGAGGTCAGAACGAAGAAGGGACTGTGGCAGCTGCTGATAAATGTGTTTTTACACTCACCACCTTCAGTTGTCATTTTGTGTGATTAATATTAATCTAACTGAGTGCTCTCTAAGAGCAAACACCTACTGTCACTTAATAATAAACCTSCGATTTAAGCTAACTTCTCTTTGCCACTCACAATTTCTTACCAAGTATTTTGGTAAATTTATGCATAAAAAAATGGGCAGGTATGATGATACAACACGGTTCAGAAACACAGCAGGTGCTAGATGAGCAGAGGTGGTTTCACAAGCAAGATGAGACACTTCTTCCCACAGATGATGTTTTTTTTTACAAGAGAAAAAGGATTCCTCCACTTTATTCTTAATTGAGGATAATATCTGTCCTGTATTTTTCCCTGAGAAAATATCAGTTTTTCTAATAATATTTGCCTGCATACACCATGGCAAGGATAACTGCACAGTTTGTCCATCTAAATGTTCATCCATCTAAATTGCATGATGAAAAATAAAGACAACAAAAACTCTACCGGGTGTCAGCGCAGGAATCTAAGATATGGGCCTTCTTAAAATAACATATTCACAAGTGTGGCAGTTTTTCTTTAAGCCTGAGCTAGCTAGACTTTATACTCTGTGATTTTTTTTCCTAGGATGTTCCTTGCCCTTTTTATCTCTGATTGGAATCTGTATATTCCTAAAGCTAGAAGAAAACTTCTCCTTTAAAGACACTCTCTTCTTCAGGGTATTTAATAAAAGCTTGGGCTATTTTTTTTTTTTTTTCCTGAAATGGATTTAAAAAGAAATGCAGGTATTGTGGTGCTTGTGCATAGTGTCTTTGAGAGAAATCTATAGGCAGTATTTATATGGCATTTATTGTTCTTACTTATTAAGGAAGCCTGCTATGCACAAATGATTGCCTTGGTTTATGAGATTCTTTGTAGGAAATTCGTCAATACAGAAATAAAGTCCAGAATGACCTAATGTGATTCTAACTTGAGAATTAAATAGCAATAATGGTTGAAATTTTAAGATTATGGTTTTTCTTCACAAAAAAAAAAATGAATGCAGCATGTGGATTCATTGTAATATACTATAGGCAAATTATTGAGACTTGCCATTTCGATTCCGTGGAAATCACTTTGTTTGGGGTGTTAATATAAAGGAAATTTTATTTGCTTGCTGGTGCTTGTGCTGTTAGAGATGCAGCCTTGCTCCTTTGGTTCACGACTTATTTCCAGGCCAGCCACTGAGCTCTCTTGCTAATAGTTGCAGCTCTGAGCGTTTAAAGCCCAGCAGCGGCGAGCTGGAGGGTAAAGAATAAAAGTTGCGTGTGTGTCTCGAGCTCAATTATTTTGCAGGAAATAAAGGGTTGCCAGACATTTGTCTGTCCATTGCGTCACCCCAGAATCTCTTATTAACACATGTGCCAGTTCAGTTGAAAGGCTGCCAGCAGGGGAAGGGATGATTACGGAGAAATGAGAGGTGGAATATAGCACCAAGGCATGAGAACACGCTGGCGGCAGGAGGACGGAGATCAAGGTGGTATAAAACCACTTGGAAAGCAGTGAGAGTAATGAAAGAAGAGGTAAATTGGACTATGCTGGAAAGCCAGCGAAAAGAGCCAGTCAAGTAAAACAAAAGCAAGCAGCTACCTAGGTGAGAGCTACCTTCACGCGCAAAGATCAAGTGCTGAACAATGCTATGCAAGAGGGAGATGTGCTAGTGGGAAYAGATCAAGTGCTTCAGCACTCTGATCTGTGAGATAGAGGCACTAATGGAAAGAAATTAGCTCCTGGCATGCTGCCGTTCAGCGGAAAAAAAAGCACTTAGAGGAGGACTGGAGTAGCGGAGAAGATGCAGCACACGCCGCGTGCAGGAGGACAAGGCAAGGCAGGGAGGACTTTCCTTGGAGCGCTGCTCCCACTGCTTGACGGTGTGCAGGGATAGTGCAAAGCTGGATTTTTATCATGGTCTTGCCATGTATGCTGCATAGTGGAGGGTTGTAGGGTCTGATCTTGGGGAGCAATGATCCTCAAAATGGGAGCATCAATGGGAGTCCGTCTGGAGTCCCATAGCCACAGCAGTCCCGGATCCCTCTGCTTTGATGCGTCGAGGTGCCGTTGGCTGCATCTCATTTCTTACACAAAATATCATCATGCCAGCTCTAGGGAAAAAAAAAAAAAAAGCCTGTAGTGTTCATGACAAATGTAAAACTTAAATCGCTGCAGAGCTGTACAAACAACTTGGTTTCAAAATAACTTAGGAAAACGCAACTGTGTGCTAATTGTAAGAAAAAAGATACAGAAGAGAGTCCCTATTTTTCAGAGTCTATGCAAACTTCAGAAACACGATTTTGAAAAATCAGCTTGGCGAGGAAGCAAAAACAGTTAGAGTATCATAAAAAACAGCAAAAAAAAAATCAGCAACACAAAAGACAAGCAAAGAAACAACTCCAACCAACCAAGCTAGATCCCTCCTACTAATAAAGTAGAAATGTCATTGACTGCTCAGACATTAGGGGACAGAGCTGGAACTCTCAGAGCAATTTCAATGCAAGTCTAAAACAGGGAAGGGTCTTTGAGGTTAACAAAAATATCAGTGCAAGGGGATTTTGCGAAGTTTATTGGAAAATAAGTAGTCAGATGGCAGGCAGTAGAGATATGAAACAGACCCCAGTGCTCTTCACAAAAGCTTTTGATAAAACAGATTTCAGTATCTCTCTAGGCAGTCACCCTTTTGTTGGCATTGCGAGAACTGGGATGCAAAACTAATCTTTACATTTACTTTTTTTCCTTTTTTTTTTTTTTTGGCATAGTTGTAATTTCTTGTTTGTTAAAATCTTTGTACAGAGAATATATGTCTATCCAAACACAACAAGCAGGCACTCATTTGTGATTCACAGTACAACTAACCCCTATGGTGCTAAGCAGCATGTGTTGCTGCACCTGGGATTTATTCCAAATTTTTCTTCCAAGTCTGAAAAGAAGCTGGTTTTATTACAAGTTGTGTTACAGCAATGGCAAGAGGCTGCAGCAGAAGCCAAACTTCTTTTCTGATTGTAATGTATTTCCGGATGAGAAGCTGAGGTGAAGGGGTTAAATGACCTCTCCTGAGACACAGGATGTTTCAGAATCCCAGAAAGACCCTTTCTCCTGGAAATATCCTTATTTTAATTATTGAAATTGCAGTTTACATTCTAGCGCTGAAGTCTACCTCTCCTAATATAATAACTACATCCTTTATCTTAAAATTAAGCAGAAATATATGCTTCGGGGAAATGGAAACAGCTTTTCAGGCATTTTATTCTTCTCTCTAAAAGTTAGTGGCCTAGAAAATTAAGTAAACAACCAGTTTAGGTAGTTCAACCAGATGTAATTTTTGTAGTTCTGCTATTTCCGTGAAAATGTGAAGATAGTTATAAGATTATCTACCGAGTCTTATTTATGATGGCAATTACATCGTCTTGCATTCTGAAGAGGATACGTAGAAACGCAGGGAGAATAACAAGAAAATATTCCTGCCAATACAGTTAACTTTGGTTTTCTGTATCCGTATAATCCCATATTCCTTCTCTTCYCCCTGCCCCTCACCCTGCAGCTCTAGATTGCAGAAACTTTAAATATTGACCTTAAAGTCCATAAATAATTTTACTGAATATAATGATGATAACGTTTAAACGCCAGCTCCTCTTAGTGTAAATTGGGGGAAGATGCAGAGGTTGCAATGCTGGGCAGGGGCCGCAGTGCTGGCACGGTGATGCCTGGTGGTGCCATTTCCATTCCCATCTCTACCCTACCAGTTATGAATTTCCTTGCCCTTGTTATGCTTCTGCTTTAGCTCTTTTCCTTGCAAATTCTGTTTAATCCTCCAGTTGCTGCTCAAYCCAGCTGACAGTCTTTTGGATAGGATTATTTGGAGGGAGCACGCAAAMACACACACACTTTTTAAGAGTTTAAGTATTTTCAAATAGAACCACGAAAACATAGGCRAAGCACCTTGATGAATCACACTATGTATATATAGAGGAGATTAATTTTCTGCTTATGACACACACAATTATTTTACTATAAACAAAGCACAGTTCAGTGCAATATGAGTTACATAAAACTGCAAAAAAATAATGACTAATCATCCTAAAATATGCATCATTAATTTAACTCTACAAATCATTTGAATTTTAGAAACTTCATACAAATTGCTTTCGGAATAATAATAAAAAAAACCTCTCATTATTAAAGTTTGCGGCAATTTAAGACTGTGGGTAACATCAACAAATGATAAAAGACTAGTTGCCAGAGGGAAAAAGAGCAAACCCCACACAGAAACACATGTAGGAATTGTCCTGGTCCTGAATTCAAAATTTCTATGGAAAATGCTACTAGCCTAATAAATTTTTTTTTGTATGTTTGTTTGTTTTTGTTGGTTGGGGAGCATTTTGAACAATAATATGAAGAGACACRGATCTATATAGCCACCAGCAGTATAGTGGATCTATAAGGTGCTCTGCTCCATAGAGCTTACTCCCCGTATTCCAAACCAGGTAAGCATCACGAGTACCCAAGGTAAGGCTAATGATGGTCCTTAAAACCATTCAAGCGTTTCATTCCAGACTCTGAAACTATACAGTAATTAAAAAAAAATCCCAAAGAAGAAAAAAAAGCTAATACAATTATTAATAAATTAAAAAGATATGAGTTTGTTGCTGTAGTAACTACACTAAAGACTAAAGTAACCGAGGCACTGAAATACATTGTTCATTGTCATGTGTTTATAGCAAAATCCCCCTAAGTTTCCACTTAGCCACCAAGTCAATCAAACCATAATATTTTCATTCAAATTTTCAATAGTCTTTGCATGGGGTAGAAAGGAACCTCTGTACGCAATAGATGATAATCACCTCTCCAAGATCCTGATTTGTTTTATCACTTGATATGTCCTTTCATTCCAATGTTGATTCAGGAGAACCCTCTTTGCACTCAGCTCTTGCAGACATTTGAAGAAAAGACATTTCTATTTTTTTTCCAGTTGTGAGAGTTCTTCTCACCTCTCTGCTGGAAAATCAATATTGTCTAAGCAGACCTAGAATGATATAAGCAGGAGAGAGGAGTGAGGAGGAACAYAAGGACATGAGAGAAATATTATTGGATTTGATTTATATATTTATATTTGTATAGTATGTGATATATCTAATATGTGATATCAAAATATTTGATTAGCAGTAACAAGAGCATGTGGAAGGACATTTAATCTGCATTATGCCAGACACAGAGATAAAGACTGTCTGCTAGAAGTGGTGTGAGAATAGGCACATATAATCACTGTGGATAAAGGTATAAAAGACGATAACAGTTTTGATGCATTCCAGATATTCATACTATTTGAAGTGTTAGATATCTGCAGAACCAGACCAAATGTCTAATCATTAAATATAGGTTAAAAAAAAAATTTAGATCATGAATTGTTTTCCACATTAAATGCAAAAAAAAAGTCTTTTTTTTTTTTTGCTTCTGAAAGTAATCTTATTTCATCTAATCACAGAGAATTATAATATAGAAATTTGATTTTTCTTCAATATATGCTATCACCACAGAACATCTTTAGTTTAATCTTTTTAATCTGTAAAAAAAACACATAAACCTTTTAAGGATGTGATTATTTCTATAAGCTTGTATTGTAGGAAGGGCAAATGCATTCTTTCCTTCAAGCATATATACACCCACATACAATTGTTCTTACAAGAACATATTTGGTGCTTTCCTCATATGACAACTGCTAAAGTAAACAGCAATATTAATCATCAGGAGCTATTTATAATGTAACTGTTGTAGCATTCCRCCATAAAACATTTTTGGTAGATGTTTTCCTGCCAATGCCTCCTTCTTTTCTGTCAAAAATTGCACACAAAGTCCAAGCAAATAAACAAGAAAACCCATTAGAGTCACCTCATATTTGGATATGTAAAACTTTATAGCAGTGAACAAATAATATCAGTCTGTTTTTTTATACATACCGTGAACCCTGATGGCCCAAGCCAGGCCCTTAATTAAGCAGTTCCTATATTTGTCTCCAGCTGTGTGTCAGAAGTGGAGGTCACAGCTTTCTTCTTACTGGGGCACTGCAGGGAACTGTGTCAGTTGGGCAAATCTCATTTTAGATTATACGACAGGGTAGTCGTGCACTATGCGAGTTGACTGCRAGAGGCGCAAAAGTCGATGAGGAGACTAGAAGAGAACCAAAACTCAGCAATCTGCCATCTGCACAACCTCATGATGATGGCCTGCAAGGAGATGCTCTTCCAGCATTTCGTCTGTGTCTTTCTAGGTGACCATATATCAGTAGAGCCAATTTCAAGCTATGTTGCTTGGCATTAACATAGTGACTCCAAAGCWTTGGCAGAAATCCTGCCTAGCACTTCACAGCACAGCTGCCTATCTTCAGTTTTTTGCATCTGACAACAGGTAAAGGACCCAGAAAAAAAAAAAAAAGCCTATCATGCTAATTTACAGAAGTAGGCAGTGCCAGTCGCATGTCAGGGGAATGCAGCCTGGCTAAAAACCACGGGGCTTCTAGCCAGCTTGTTTCACCCTCCCTTGTGTCCCAGGATAAACTTGCATTCCTGAGGGACAGCGCTATGGAAATGCCTTCACCTGCAGTCTGTTTATCAGACTTCAGCTGTGGCTCCTCAGCAGACAGAGCATCTAAGAGAGCCACAGCTCAGTCAGCAAACGTTTGCAGAGGTGACACTTCAGGTAAACATCTATCCCATGCTACGGCACCCAGATGTTAAAAGATCTTTGGTTGACCTTCCAGGACTCTGAGATGGAAGCAAATGAAATATTGGATTCAATGTACTGAGTAAAGGGATTTCTCCCCTGGCTTCCTTGGTGCAATGAAGCTACGCAGTATTCATGTAGGACGAATCAGGAAAATCTATTGCCTAAGTTTGTCCCCTCAATTAGTAGTCATTGAGTGAAAAGAGATTAAAATTATTAAATGCATTGACCACTTTTTACCCAGAGAGCAGGTATTACCCTGTTGGTCTTTTTATTCCCTTCTTCCAAATGCAGTTGCATATGGAGGTCACTAGCCTTCCTTATGACCACAGGGGCTCCAAAGCTTTAAAAGAAAGCTCAGAGCTGTGATTCACTGCACATCTAGTTGGTGTTCATCGGTAATTAAAAATATAAAGTATCATCAGAGGTTACCAAGGCATGCATTGGCAATACTGTGGGCACCATCCAAGCCAACTCCATCAGTCATATGGAAAAGTGCCTCCATGTCCTCCAGAAGTCTCTGTTGAGCAGCTCCATGCCCACACAGGATCCCAATGGGCTGCACTGAAATACCCAGCAAAATCTTCACTCTCACATGGAAATTCTGTTTCAGGAGTGAGCAGAAGAGAAAACTGAGGTCATTACATGTCTTCACATTTTTTCAGGTGTTGGAAAAGATACTTGCTTAAAAATGAGAACGCAGTGCCACCTCTCCATAACACTTTGTTTTTCTAATTCTGCAGGCACCCTAGTTTCTCCATGCTTAAGTTTACATTAAGATTTGCCCTTAGTGATCAATTAAAWTCACACTATTTTCACCTTAAGAGCATTATTTACATTTGACACCTAGCATCTGTCTGTCCTATGGATCCCAACATAGCTGACATGTTTCCTTATTTGAATGGAGGGAAGGAATACAAACTACTGCGTTTTATTTTTTGATGCTACATTAATAAAAGTAATTTTTATATAAGCTAAGAAGCCAGAGGCTTTTTTTTTTCTGTTTGCAAGATAAAATATTTACATAGAGATCAGCATAAAATAGATGTGAATGCCRACTTAATGGTTTCTTAGATTTTTGTAATTAGGTTTCTAGAAAATTAATCTAAGAAATGTAAGTGAAAGAATAGAAGCAGCAACACAGTAATTGAATGTCATTGGCCACGGCCCATCTCTCTAATATTTGATAGCTGTACTGAGTCCAGCCTTAAATATGCAGTCTGCAAATCGTCCAAATTAATGAAACACAGAACTGAAACAAGAAACCAGAAATCTGTGATATTATGATGAGACATCTATCAAAGAATACAACATTTTCTGCTCTGTTTCTGGAGCAAGCTGAGACAAGTGATAACCAAAGGGTATATGAACAATTTTGCCTGTTTTCTCTATGCATCTCTGCATCTGTGTAAATTATTAAGTGTATCATACTTTCACAAGACATTTGAGAGATAATCCTATAGAGATGGTATATCACAGCTCATATTAGAAGCACAAAAAAAAAAAAAAAAAGAAAAAAGAAATTCCCCAGAATTAAGGTTTGAAGCATGGATAAGAAGGAATCACAAAGCATCTAGATGCTGGAGCAGAGCCAGAAAGTTCACAAATTTAGGACATCTGGTCTTGCAAAGGCAATTCTGGTTGCAGTTTTGAAAGGCAGCTGGAATTCTATGATTTTTAATAAAGTTTTAACAAAACACAGACATAAATTGGTTAAACAAATCATATCATTCACTCAAACAGCTAATTAACTATAATTCTAATTAAGTCACAGATTTATTCAGCTATAATAGTGTGAAAAAAGCCTTCTGGTTGCATAATATGACTGACAACTTTTTTTATTAATCCCAAGTTACATAGATAGTGTTATGTGCTTTCCACTCCTCTAAAGTGTTACACGAACAGTCTACAGAGTTACCTCGCCAACATCTCCTTGGTGTTTATGAGTGATGGTAAAGTATCTTTAGATGAAARGTACTCAGTCCATCACCTGCTGGAGCAACCAAAAACCAACCAGAAGCAGTGTTGACTCTGAAGAATACCGATCTCCAACGCTTGTGAAGAGTCTGTAAAATGTTAGAAGGCCTTATTCAAAGCTACTTCAGGTGGAAAAAAAGCATGTGTTCACATTCATTAATGGAAACTAAGCAACTTCTGAGGGAAGTAGTGGTCAGTTTTCTAAGAAAATGTGTTCACATTCATTACACATTAACGATCATTACAATAATAGTCATTAACACTCATTACATGAATCGTCATTATGGTGGCAGAGTTCAAGCATCATCTGAACCTCAGATTTTATCATTCTTTCTTGGTCTGTTGTGTGGTGCAAAAACAGTCTGTTATGCATAAATATGCATATGCATAAAACAAGTCATTAGGACAGGTAAGYAGGATTAACTACATCATTAATGCAGCATACATTGCTGCATAAGAAGTTATAAGAAGTATCCAACTACAATTTCTTTACCTGCAGAAGCCTTGAAGCCAAATTTTAAGGCAGAAGAGATTATTTTACTACCCTTTTCATTGAATCAGAAAGCAGTGCTGAAAACTTTACTGCAAATTTTACAGAAGACATTCTGGAAACAAAACATCCARCAATTGCTGTGATAGCAAAGAGTATTCACAAAATCTCACTGGAGTTCAGGCGTGATCTTCTGAAGATAGATATTCATTTTGTTCTCTCTGCTAATTATGATGAGAAAGTGTGTATTATTTTTAGATTCTGTAATGGAATAATTAAGTAATAATGATAGAAAGCTATTCTGATATATTTTGAGCTCATATCGCACCACAGCAGGCAAAGTGTCACCATCACTGCCATTAATGAATTTACATGTGTCTGATAATTGGAAATGCAGACTTTTTCTTCTTTCTGTGTGTGATGAACTCAGACTTAAGTACCTATTTTCAGGTCTAGATTTTCTTTTGGGATGGGTTTCAAGGTCTGCAAGCATTTTCTGAGGAGGATTCTGACCTGAGTTTAGTTATTTTGATCATGTCTATAGATAGAGGTATTTAATATCCAGGCATCTTCATTGATAGCACCTTGGTTTTGCTCTGATGGTAATTGAATAACCTTTCTCCCTCCTATTTTATTGGCAACCACAATGTCTTTACTGATGTGGACAATATAAATTATGGTTTAGAATAAATGACTTGATATAATCCAAATTTCTTTAAGTATATCTCATAAACATCTTCCTAGCCAATGGTGCTTCCATTTCTGAAACAAGAGCTTTCCAGCTCGGAATAGATTTGCAAAGATACAGCTAACATTATTTTCAGAACATGTATACTGCAGCTTATTTCTTTCAAAACAAAATAAAAAATGCTTCTCAGTGATGCTTATGAGCAGCAGTTGTTCCACAAGATGAAATTTCCTAACTTAGGGGAAAACAGTGATTTTCAAGCTCTTTTATGTAACTAGTTCGTTTTGTACAGTCTATTTTTCTGTGCTTAGCCGCTCACAAACATATAGCTGCTAGCCATCACATAGATGACATGCATCACTGAGAAGTATTCCTCTGTCTGAGAATGTGATTTTATTTCTGGCTTTAACTAATGATGAATTATATTAATTTATTTGAAAACTCTTCTGCTTTGGGGGTCATAGGTGAGACTAAGTGTCGTGTTAATGGCTGTAGGATGTAGGATGTAGGACCAAACAAGACAGCAGTAAGACCATTCCCTGCATTATTAAGATACTCTTAGTAAGACCTGTTGCTATGACTTTATTTTAATATCTTTGCACATTTTTTTCAATACCTCAAGGCACATATAATAAGTAGGATTAAAGTGTKTAACAAAATGATAGTATTGCTCTGTTTTTGAAAAGGAGAAATTTTCCTCTCTAACTTTAAGTAGAGAAGTTGGTGCTATCAAGTATTTTTTGGTGGGGAGAAGAAAAAAGAGGAGATAAGATATTTAAACTGTGTAAACTAAAAGAGGAAATTTTTTCGGTAATGTACACATTAAAACTAAGTAGTTTTAATGATAAAAGCTAATCCTAAGGATTACTGATAAAAAGCGTATCAATGAATTTCTCACATTTACTTTTCTTTATTAGCACTTTAAGAATATATTCTTTTCAATGGATAACTCTCATATATTTTGATAAAATAAACTAAGCAAAATGACTTTGTCACAAAGAAAAATTGGATTTTTTTTCTGAAATGGAAGAGCTTTCACTTCTGAAAGTATTGATATATATTTGAGTTTATTTATTCCTATTTAAATCTTAATAGAATCCCCCAAAATTTTGCCTTTTCTGGGAAATCACTCTACCAAGCAAAATTGAAAAGGACTTGCCTCTTTGTTGTCATCCTAGATGTCAAAAGCAGATGAGCCTTTTCTGAGCTTCTCATCTTAATAGATTAACTATGAGTTAACAGGAGCAAAGAATGTGGTTTCTAGAGACTTCCTCCTTCTGAGTTATGGA